TCCTAACGTGTTTCACAACATTGTCAGTGTCACCATTAAACACTTGTTCAGGTTTCAGTCCTTCACTGTCTATGTACTCCTTGAATTCCTGCACATATTTTTCAGCTGCTGTTTGGTCCAAACTGGCAGCCTCACCATGCCTTATCACACTATGTATGCCACTACGATTCTTAAATCTCTCAAACCAACCTTTGCTGGCCTTAAATTCACTCACATCACCACTAGTTGCTGGCATTTTTCTAATTAAATCGTCATGCAACTTCCTAGCCTTTTCACATATGATCACTTGAGAGATGCTATCTCCTGCTATCTGTTTTTCGTTTATCCACACCAATAACAGTCTCTCAACATCTTCTATCACTTGCGATCTCAGTTTCGAAAACATAGTTGCACCTTTGGCAAGAACAGCTTCCATGATTGCCCGTTTTCTTGGCCACAATAGTAGCGATGGTTGATTGGGGTTTTGTGTACAGCCTTGCCAGCTCGGAGACATGCACTCCACTTTCATACTTAGCAATGATCTCTTTCTTCATATCCATAGTAATTCTCACCCTTTTTGCTGTAGGGTTGGCACTAGAAGCTTTCTTGGGGCCCATGGTGACTTATTTTGCAGGTGCAATCACTAAAAAGGCTGTGATAATATGAAATGTTCCAATTGATTATCGACGGTGGCTGGTAAGCTTGAAACAGGCGCCGAAGTGGACGCGTCTCAGAAGGAAGGAATAGTGTTGGTCGAGTTTTTTAGCGCTAATCGAGGCAAAATTTTTGCGATAAAATGTATCACTAGTCAGATTTATCGTTAATCGATGCCATCACTGGTCAAGGGTCCACTGTATTACATAATTATAGACACTGTCATTAATCCATCTGTACCATTTCTTTTTTCGAAATTATATAAGAAATACACTACATACCATATATTTTTCCACAAACATTTTTAATCTCTATGCCCCAGCGAACCAGCTTCGACCTGATGCTTTACCAGATCGCATCAATAGTGAACCTACCATCATTCTTGGAGATTTTAATGCCAGACATAAGAATATTGGTGGGTCTATTACAAACACCAATGGAACTAAACTAGTGAGATTGCTGAATGAGCATGATAATGTTCGAATTGTGGGCACTACTGAGCCTACTCACATATATGGTGGCATACTAGATCTGTGTCTTGGATTTAATACATCATATACGATGCATGACTCTGTCATAGTTGATGATCTTCTATCTGATCACTTCCCAAGACTAACAACTGTCAATCTTGATCACATCTCCAGCAATCAAGGAGCTAAATACGGGAAGGAGGAAACTTTTTCTCAAACCAGAACACAGAGACAACTTTATTAACCACTTGGATCAATGGTAAAGAATTACGAGCCCACTAGCACACAAAAATTTAATGATGATTTAATTACCACTATTGAGAGTGTTCTCACAGATCAAGTGGGCAGGAATAGGAAACAAAGACCCTCCACTATAAATAACAATAAAAACCAATGTAAATACTATAATGATCCACAGCTGCGCAATCTAACACATGCAGCTAGGAGGATTGGTAAAGCATACCGTGAATGTAGAACCCCAGACCTGCTCAGAACGTTCCAAGCTGCACTAACAAATGCAAGGAATAGAAAGGAAGAACTTAGGCAACAGGAATGGGAACAGTTTTTTAGTGGATTAAATAGGTCCACCCTTTGAGTTTGGCTTGGAAAGGTATAAATAAAATAACCAGGAAAAAGACTGGCAATGTGCTCATCCCTTTCCTCTTGAAAAAGCAAATGACCTCATAAATGACTGGTCCAAAACATCCAGGCATGAAAGCCTTCCATCTCACATTAGAAAAAATTTAGAGAGTACTTTTGAAGAAATGTTGAAACTGATTAATTTTATGAGCCAAAATATTGATGAGAGTGATTGCCTCTTTACCGAGTATGAATTAGATAATGCATTAACCAAAGGTCGATCAACTGCTCCTGGAGAGGATGGTATATAACCTATGATATTCTCAGAACTCTAAGGCACGTGCCTGATAACCCTTTGTTGGCACTGTATAATCTCAGTTACATTGGGGGCGGTTCTTCCTACTTCCTGGACCAATAGTCTCATTTTTCCTATCCTAACCCCCAACAGCCTGATACATTTAGGCCCGATCTCCTTAACTAGTTGTCTTTGCAAAACTTTTGAAAGAATGATGCTTAACAGATTGTACTACAGAATCAGACATCAACTTTCCCCCTACCTCTATGGGTTCATGAAAGGTAAAAGTGTGCAGAACTGTATTTCCACCTTTCTCACTGCACATACCTCTACTAGTTTTACCACTTTTCTTGATCTAAAATCTGCATTTGATATTGCAAACAGAACCGTTATACTACATGAACTAGCCAAAATGAATATTGGTGGTAGCTTACTCTGCTGGGATAATAGGATACCTGTCAAATAGAGTATCCTCTGTCCTTTACCAAGGCTTCAGAAGTGATTCTAAAGAAATGTCTTTAGGTACACCGCAGGGAGGAGTTCTTAGTCCCATGCTATTTAATATTCTGATTAATGCTCTCCTAAATGCTCTACCTGCCTCACCTAAACATATAGCTATAAGCTATGCTGATGATATCATGATCCATACAACAGGGCATAAGAAGATGAATACCATTCTTAATGAAGTTCAAGCAATTTGTAATCGACTAGGCCTCATAATATCTTCCTCTCTAAAACAAAGATATTAACAAGCAAACGACATCCCCCACCCATCTATTTGCAGGGTGAAAAACATTAGCTACGTTAAAACTTACAGATATCTTGGTGTAGATGTACCCTTTAACAAATCCACTATACCACAACTAAACAAGAAATGTAAAGCTAGGCTAAATGCTCTCAAAGCTGTTGCTGGCTACAATCCCCAAATATGGTGCTAATGTGAGAATCATGAGAATGATGTACATAGCCTATGTTAGGTCCTTAATTGATTATGCTGCTCCCCTGTTGATATTAGCTAGAGAAAGTTCCCTCCGACCCTTGGAGTTAATGCAAAATGAAACTCTCAGGACTATTCTTGGCTGTCCCAGATCTACAAAAGTTCTTAACATGAGGAAGGAGCTTGGTATTTCTAGTATCAGTGATAGGATTGTTGAATTAACACTGTACTCGGTATTAGAATGTTGAGAAAAAGAACCAGACACTGTCACAGTGAATCTTACCAAGTGTCTAGAGGTAAATACACACAAATCTAAATGGATTGTGAAAACGTGCAATTGCATTAAGTTTTATAACCTGCATGAACTGTATCACTGTAGGCAACAAGAGCATTTCACCCCCCCATGGAAATGTGTTCATTTAATATCACATACCTACAAGTCCCTCCCAAGAAGCTCATTGCTAGTAATCCCTTCCTTAAATCTTTTGTTAGAACAACTGCTCAAGAAGAAATTTTTCGCCTAGCTGGTAGTAATAAGTTATCACAAGTTATATACACTGATGGATCTAAACAGGAGTCTTCTGGCAGGGCTGCATCTGCTCTTGTTGCCACCTCCCTAGTTAAGAACGATAATAAATTTGTTGAGTTAGGCATAAGAATTAACAACTGGGTGTCTACACTGCAAACTGAATTGTTTGCAATCCTAAAGGCGCTAAAGCTAACCTATGACACTGAGCTTGACTCTATCATCATTACTGATTCTATGTCATCATTGAAGGCTCTTGGCTCATATAATGACTCCAACAACATGCTCATTGGGGAAGCCAGGTATAGATACTCAAAAATTAGGGACAAAGGAATTAATGTACAATTGCTATGGATCCCATCACACATTGGATTACTCCTTCATGATAAAGTTGATATGTTAGCCAAGAAGAGTATCCAGAGGAGAACGTGAGATATAACTTTGGTATAACTGTGTCTAGCATTAGGCATAATATTAGGAGAGAAGTAAATAATGAAGATGATTGTTATAGGAATGCAGTTAGAAGCCTGAGTAGATCTATAACCCACTATGATAACATGAACGTAGATAAGTATGTTTATGGAGCAACTTGCAATGTGAACAGACTGACTGATGTTGTAGTGGCCAGGCTTAGGCTTGGTTACAAGTACTTCTGGCAGTTTGGGAGACACACAGATGATGATCAAACTAAATGTAAATTATGTGATCAGGCAATATGGTCACTCTCTTGAACACTATGTGCTTAATTGTCCACTTATTGAGGAATACAGAGACAGACAGTATAATAACCTATGTGACATGTCAAGATATCTTATTAATGAAAATAAGATACCAGATATACTAAGCAAATTTCCTAAATTTGCTTGTAACAGATAAGTGAACTATAGATATGTAGATATAAATCCATATGTATTCCTGTTAACCCTTTGGGGCCTAGTTCCTAGGCCTTTTGTGTATCCACATGCTCTCGCGCTACTGTCCACAGGATGGATATGGGGTGCACAATAAACTAGCCACTTCGGTGGCAAAATCTAAAATCTACCATATAAACAAAATAGATAAAATCATAGTAAAACAAACAATTGTGAGGTGTGGTAAATGAGTGGGCTACCACACCTGACTTCCTACAATATATAATACTCGCATCTCACCCTACATTAACACTACAAATATTTTTAAGGTAAGTAATTAGTGTACTGTATGTGACATTTTACTTTTTTATTGTTTTTCAATGCCTAGTTCTATTGCTAACTTAATATATGATAGTGTAAGCATGTCATGAGGCATTTATATGCATTTAAAAGTGAAAAAATAAAGCGATTTGCTTTATGGTGATTTCCGTTTTACGGCAGTAGCTTGGAACCTAACCTGCCATGTAAGCGGTGCCCGCCTGTACTTAACAGTCTTGTGCTGACCACTTATATATACAGATATGGTTTCTCCAATCATGATTCAAATGAATCAAGTGTTCAATACCCTTGAAGAAAATATTTTAATTCTAGCTGCATATAAGCCTTAGAGCTTTCAAAAGATAAATAGGCAAAAATTTAATATACTCACCAACTGTTGTGCTGCTAAATTCTGCTCACTTTGATGAATTTGCTCTTGCAGTTGCTGTTGCTGGGTAGCAATGGACTCTATAGTTACATTTGGTGGCGGAGGTGGTGGAGGCGGTGGTGGTGGGGGCTGTGCATACCCTGGACCACTGCTAGTAAAAGCACCAGGTTCTCCAGCCTATGTGAGCAAAACTTCATCTGAGACTAGGTTAAAAAAAATTATACAAGATGTTGGAAGAAAAATTCTGTTTTCTAAATATTTAAAACTCAATTCAGTTACTCTTTTATCTCTGGTTAAGAACTTTTTTTTTCTTGAATCTATCAATAATGATACTTTAAGTCAAGACACTCACCTGAGGAGCTGTGTATGTAGCATCTCCAGGTGGTGGCGGTGGGAAAGACTGAGATGTATGAACAAATGGAGGCTCAGCCGTGCTTGTTGGTACAAAAGAAGTAGAAGTGACATAGCTTGAATCACCTGGTGGAAATGTTGAAGGTGGCTCACTTGAAGGGGGCGGAGGTGCATACTGCCCTTGGGAGAAACCTCCAGAAGTGACAGGTGCTTGTGGGAACTGGGGCAACTCAGGCTCTGGGTATGCAGAAGTAGGTGGATAGCCATATGCAGATGGGTAGTTTTGACCAGGAAAGGCACCTCCTCCACCTGGAAATGCACCTTGTGGAGGGGGTGGAGGCTGATGTAACGAAGGCTGCTGTGATGGCTGAGATTGTTGCTGCTGTTGATGCTCACGAGCTTGCCGATGCTTTAATACTATTATGAGAAACAAAAAGTTAAGTAACATAACAAAGCAAAGGGAGCATTATTAATTATAATGTACAGTAGTCAGTACAGTAAAACGGTTTCCTTTAAAACATTTTCTCCATTACACCACTGTCAAATTGCAGCATATTTTCCTTTTACAATTCGTAAAATTAAATTTAAACAGTTCTGCTTCTCGGTATGGAAAAAATTTCAGTGCCACAAGCTGGCCGACAGGGATTTTCCCTTCTGTGTAGTGAGGGCAAGGTAGTCTGCCTGTGGGTCAAGCCACTGTCTTTTGCAGGTGAGAACCAGTCCTCCGTATATAAGTGTCCAGTGCGATACCCAGCATTGTCTGTGAATCGGGTTTTGGTCTTTTCATTACCAAACGTTGCATCTGCCAAGGAACCATGGCACCCAGGAAACATGCAAGTGATGCAGGAAGTGGCAAAACAAAGTTTAAACGTTCAAGTTTTGGAATTATGAAGAAAACCGAGATATTAGATAAGCTTAAATGTGATGCCTGTGTGGTGGACATGACGAGAGCTCATGGCCTTAATGAAGTGTCGGTTCGTATGATTAAAAAGTGAGAAGCAAATATACGGGCTTGTGCAATGAATAACCCGGGCTGTCATCTGATTTACTGACCTGACTAACCTACTGACTTGATTTACTGAATGACTTGACTGATTTATTGAATGACTAACTTACTGAGCTGATTTACTGAATAACTTGACCAATTTACTGGCTGGCTTACCGATTTGACTGACCAACCTGACTGACTTACTGACTTGATTTACTGAATGAATGGCTTATTGACTGACCTAATTTACTGAATGACTTGACTGACCTGACTTGACTGATTTATTGACTGGCTTACTGACTTGACTAATTTAATGACTTACTTGACTGATTTACTGAATGACTTGACTGATTTACTGAATGACTTGACTGATTGACTTACTATTTACTGAATAACCTGATTGATATACTGACTGTTTGCTACTTGACTGACTGATTTACTGACTGATGGCTTACTGGCTTGGCTGGCTGACTTAACTGATTTATTAAATGACTTGACTGACTGACTTGAATGAGTGACCTACTGAATTAATTGAATGTACTGACTTGACTGACTGACCTACTGACTCACTTGAAAGGACTGACTTACTGACTGGACTACCATCTACCTCAGCCCAGATGAACCTCAGCATGCCTCTCCACTCCTTCCTTCACAATCACTGATGAACACCAGCAACCACAATTTAAGGTAAGAAATATTATTTCTGGTGCATTTTTAGCCTTAAGCAACAGAAAAAACTATATTGTAACAATAATGAACAACAATTGCATTATTTTTATTTATTTAAGACATGGAGACCTCAAAAATACAAAGTTGGGGGTCCCTTGAACATAACACTATTTTTTCCACAAGTTCTTCTGTTCCTTTAACACGGATTTGTCTAACACAGCATTTTCAGGAACGTAACTACCACCTTAATCTACGGTCTACTGCATAATTTTGTTGCTCTGATCTTCACAATGATGGAAGTTGAATTTTTAAAAGCTGTATTTAACAGTTTTATAGGAAATGCTAGAAAAATGTGGATTACAAATGAATATTAAAAAGATTAGAACAAGTTTATGAAGATTAACCCTTTCAGGGTTTCGGCCGTACTAGTACGGCTTACGCACCAGGGTTTTTGACATACTAGAATGCCTAAATTCTAGCGCCCTCAAATCTAGTGAGAGAAAGCTGGTAGTCCTACATATGAAAGAATGGGTCTATGTGGTCAGTGTGCGCGGTACAAAAAAAATCCTGCAGCACACAGTGCGTAATGAGAAAAAAAAAACTTTGACCGTGTTTTTGGATTAAAACAACGACTTTGCACTGTATTTTCATATGTATTTATTGTTGTATTATAGTTTTCCTGGTCTCATTTTAAAGAATGGAAGACATATTACAGAAATTGAGATGATTTTGACTGATTTTACAAAGAAAACTACCTTGAAATTGCGCTCAAAGTAGAAATGTTCGATTTTTACCAAAGTTCAAAAGTAAACAAATCGTGCTATGCGTCCAATACACGTCAACTGGTGAGTCTAATATTCTTTCACAAGTGTGCTGATAATATTTATACCATTTCTACACCAATGCAGTAGTCTGCATAACAGTAAATCTTCTATTTTTTTGTGTGAATAAAAATTCAAAGCGGAAAGCAAAAGAATGTAAGAGGGGCATGGGGATGTGACTAATGAACAGAGGAAATGTTATTTTAGTGCCAGGAATGTCTTTCTTGTTTATTCTGGACCCTATTCGGAAACTGGCATCTTTTGAAATTTGTGTGAAATTGGCAAAATTGCTAAATTCTGACCACTTTATTGGATAGTTGAAATCAGTAAATGGGTGGTTTCTTGTACTCATTCAATAGAAAAAATGGAGTTCTAGCAAAATAGTTATGATTTTTGTCGACAAGTACACTGGAATTGGCCGAAAATAGGGCTCAAAGTGGGCAAAATCGCCGATGTGTAAACATCGTCGAGACTGCTAACTTCGCAAGAGCATAATTCTGTAAGTTTTCCATCAAATTTCATACTTTTGGTGCCATTACGATCGGGAAAGATTCTCTATCTTTTCATAAGAAAAAATTTTTTTTTTTTTAAATTTGGCCGACCCTGAGAACAAGTCTGACAGGGCCTGTCGACCCTGAAAGGGTTAAGAAGCACAAAATTCCCTAAAATTTCTATTTAAATTAAGGAATTTGTTTAGTTTTTATAAACCTCTCTAAGAGTAGCTGCCTGTTTGTATTATCTCTAACATTAATAATACTTTTCTCCTTTTGCCCTTTGCTTACATCTTCCAAGTGCATACTTTAACTACCTTCAGCATCCGTTTTATTATTCTTACATTCATGAGGGGAGAGCTAAACCTTTAAGGTTCATACAGTGCCTGGAGGAATGGAAGACATTCAATCTCCTCAGACATCTACTTCAGACAATGCTCTAGCTAGAGCACTATTTGACCTCGTGTCTACACTCATTACAGATCATTTCTCTACATGGAAAACCCATTAATGTTAGGCTGACCATTTAACCTGCTCTTCCCACCAGGACGATGGTGATCTGCATGCTTCCTTGGTACTTAGACAGTGTTCACTTGGTTTACAGAATTCAAGTGTGCTTAGCAGAACCTACAGTCATCTAGTGGAGACTTACACTCCCTCAATGTCAAAGTGTTGTTATTTTTCTAGTAGCTCAACTCCCACTTTAACATCCATTGCCAAGACTTAGACATATCTACTCTGACATGGACTTGTTTTACCCTCAGTTTTTCCGCCATTCTTCTGCCTATACTATCCACTTAATTCATGGATGACAATCAATCTGCTGTTTCTACTGAACACAGTAACTCACCATCTTGTGGTAACATGCCAGTTTAGAATTACTCTACCATGCCTATCTGAGCAAGTGATGGGCACCTACGCATTTAGGGCAGGTATAATTTTGGCAGTTCCTGTCATTCAAAAGGCCCACTCATTCTTTATCTCCATTCAGAAATACAGTGGTACCTCGTGATACGAACAGCTCAAAACTCGAACTACAGTGGACCCCCGGTTAACGATTTTAATCCGTGCAAGAGGGCTCATCGTTATGCGAAATAATCGTTATGCGAATTAATTTTCCCCATAAGAAATAATGGAAATAAAATTAATCCGTGCAAGACGCCCAAAAGTATGAAAAAAAATTTTTTTTACCACATGAAATGTTAATTTTAATACACACAAACTGAAAAAGGCATGCACAATTACATGACACTTACTTTTATTGAAGATCTGGTGATGATTGATGGGATGGGAGGAGGGGAGAGCATTATCTTCTTACTGTTTAGAAGGGGAATCCCCTTCCATTAGGACTTGAGGTAGCAAGTCCTTTTCTGGGTTACTTCCCTTCTTCTTTTAATGCCACTAGGACCAGCTTCAGAGTCACTGGACCTCTGTCGCACAACAAATCTGTCCATAGAGCTCTGTACCTCCCGTTTCTTCAAGACTTTCCTAAAATGGGCCATAACATTGTCATTGAAATAGTCACAAGCACGGCTTGCAACAGCTGTGTCAGGGTGATTTTCATCTATAAAGGTTTGCAGTTCAAACCACTCTGCACACATTTCCTTAATCTTTGAAGTAGGCACAATGGATTCCACAACTGGCATAGGCTTCTCAGGGTTAGCCCCAAACCCTTCAAAATCTTTCTTAATTTCCATACTAATTCTCACCCTTTTTACCACAGGGTTGGCACTAGAAGCTTTCTTGGGGCCCATGGTCACTTATTTTCCAGAAACACCACCGAAAACACTGTAATAATACGAAATATTCCGAGTGTATGCTTGGATGTTACCGCGGAGGCTGGCTGGTAAACAATGGGACGGCCGGCACATGTGAGGGCACATTGGACGCGTCTCGGACGAAAATCGGTATGCGGGTTTTTAATCGGTATGCGGGGCAAAAATTTTGCGATAAAAGTAATCGTTATGCGGAAAAATCGCTATGCGATGCCATCGTTATGCGGGGGTCCACTGTATTATTTAAGTGTATTTATGTAAGTGCTTTTGTAAGTGTATTTTTGGGGGTCTGAAACGGATTAATCTAATTTCCATTATTCCTTATGGGAAGAAATTCGTCGGGTATCGGCACTCAAACAGCCTTCTGGAACAAAAAAAATTTGTATCCCAAGGTACCACTGTATAGGCCTCTACTTCCAGTTGTTGCTAAAGATTAATTCTTGCTCACTCGCCAATTATCACACATCAGGTTTCTAGTTACATCACCTAGAGTCAAATTTGACATTCCCTATCATTCCTAGCACATATAACTCCAGTATCCACTGCCATATCAATTCTTCCTCATTCCATTTATTTTTAACACAATGGCTGTCTCTTATCGAGGCAGGGTGACCTGAAAAGGAAGGAACAATTTTTTTTTTCTTTTTACATTTAGTAATTCATACAGGAGTTACTAGCCACTTGCTCCTGATTACAAACAGTCTTATGACACATGGCTTACAGAGGGAGGGTTTTTCTTCACTTCCCCAAGGAGTCATTTCCAGTTGTATGTGAATAATTTTGAAAAGTGGCTTGTGAGTCCCATCTGCTCTTTAAGTGTGTGTGCATGCTTGCAATAATCTGGATTCTTCTGGCTATTATGGATTTGGATACAAAGTTGTGTTAGAAATCCACTGCTCACATCCAAACTAATGTGTCTACATAGCAATTCAGTTTTATAAATTGCCAATGTCACTGGTTGAGAATTTCCTTTCTCAGTGCTCTGCATTTTGAGAATTATCCTTCATGTCCTCAGTTGCTGCTGCCTTAGTACTGTGTACTAGTGGTAGGAGTCCAAAAATAACTCATGGATCCCAAACACAGAATATAATACTTAGAAGTATAAAAACCTACTTTCTGTAAAGGGTTCCAGTAACCATGGTGCCCTCCACCTTCCTTTGTTGGCTGTTTCCTTCCAGCCTAAACCAAAGCCTGGAGTCAGGCTTTTCTGTTGTTTGCCTGATCACCCAGGCTGATGCTGTTGTCAGCCTGCTGTCTTACATATCCATCACAGTCTGGCTGATCTGGCACTTGTCAAGTTTATGTAGAATTTCTAGTTGGTCATGGACCAGGCTGTGGGGTGGCCTGGTTCATGACCAGCACACCCTCTAGGGAAGTACTACAAATCCAGAAAATATATTTCAGCCTGCAAATTGCATTATCAAAATAGAATCCCTAAACTTAGCTGCCATTTCTCTTACTGGTGGGTTATATTAACAATGCTTGGCACTGAGCAAGACTAGACAGTGTAGACTGAAAGATGCAAGGGTAAAGATGATCATCCATGACAGTTTATGAAAGTTAAAAATATAAAAAAATTAAAAATCTAACAATTAATTAAAACCATGCTTCAAAAAACAATTCTTAATATCCTTTAGTTGACATATAACTAAAGCACTGTACATAACTAGAGAGTGAGGCATGTAAATTCATACAAATTAAGACCTCAAAAAAAAAAAAAAACAGAATTAATAGCTTTTATAAAATAAACTTAAGTTATCTATACAGGTAACACATCAGTGTAAATGTAATGCCTAGTAGCATACCTTCACTCTACTCTTGGGCAACCAGGAAACTTATATAGTGAGATAAGATGTACCTCTTGAATTGTGTGACAGATGCAGTGAATACCTTCATTAATGAACTGCTGCTCATTTAGGGACTTTATATTAAGCCAGTAACTAGCTTGATAAACCCTTAGAATCAGCACAATGTGGTCATTAAGATACATGCTATATCTAAATGCCTTTAACTCCACCCTGTTAGTATTTACATATCATTTCAGTACCTCTAGTCCTCACTGATGACAAATCAATTTTTTAAACACTACAATACCCAATCCCACTATAAATTCATGGAAAGGATTAATTTTTGTGGTTTTCACACCAGTCACAGAATACAAATTTTACAATATTTAAAGTACATACCCTCTTGTTGCAGTTCAGAGGGTCATCTGAGTTGTGGTGTCAGTATACTACTAGGAATACAGTGACTGAATGAATTAATGTTAAAGTGTTTCATCTTTTTCGAGCACAATACTTTGGTGGAAGATGACAGGGGTGTTAAAAAAAAAATACCCAACATCTCGCCACCAAATGAGAAAGCGATGACTAGCAGAAGACAAAGTTTCAGGACTTTTATGAATTCATTAATATTTAACTCCTCCCATTACTTTTATTTAAAACTATTTCAAAATACCCTATGCATTAATTACTCTTAAAACAAACATTTCAGCTTTAAACTTATTTTAAAGAGTTTTCATTTCATATTGTTATTACATATGCAGCAATACTCACTTGCTTGTTCTGTTGTAACTTTGTACTGGTAGTAATTGAAGAATTCTCCACCAAACAAGAAGCTGAACTTCGGGTTCTCCTTCTGTTTGGTCTTTGTCATCTGTTCAAATTCAGGGCCATTGCGTGCTACAAACTGTGCCAGCTTGTCAATAATGTTCTTCAACTCTTGGTCTGCAAAATTTGAAACGTAATAAAATTTCAATACATTAAAATGATGGGCAACTTACTACTGTAATTATGAGTCAAACTTGTGTGTCGATTAGTCATGATAAGCTTTATTTAACAAGGAATGGGTCGCCTTGATTACAGCAGTAGAGGTGAGGATAATGTACATCTTAGCAAATCATTCAGAACAGTGGAAACATTTTAACACATCCCTAGCAATTGCAAAACAAACTGTGAATACTTATATCTATTAAAAAGTATAAAAAATAAACTCCTAAGTAAAGTACTAAATCAATTAAATAACATTAGATACAGAACCTATTCAAATCAACTATATTAACAGGCTATATCAGCAGGATCAGTGTAGGTGCAGTAGATCTATACAAAAAATTATGGTGCCCTAAAATTTGGTGTGTGGGCAAATTTTGGCCATGACACAAGAAAAGGTCTATGCTGCAAGTGTGTGCAGTATAATGCAAAATCCTGACCAACAAATTGTATAATGGGAACATCTAATCCCTTACCCTGCATTTGGGTTACAATAGCAACTTTGACAAATCGGGTGACATACTAATAAAATGTACGTACAAAATTTGAGTCGGTTTAAGACCAGAAGAGGACTGAAATAGGCATCAAAGTAGCGAGAAATGGTCGATTTGGGGAAATTTTCCTGAGGAAGGATGGTGCCTCCCTGACCCACCCCTCTCCCCTCTGGTCTGCATTTATGGCCTACTAGGATAAAAAAAAAAAAAGAATTTTTGTGTGATGATGCATTCACAGCAGTGGGCAAGAGTTATACAAGAGAGGCCGGTAAATGTAATTAACCCTTTGAGGGTTTTCGTCGTACTAGTACGTTTTACGCGTAGGGGTTTTTGACGTACTAGTACTCATAAATTCTAGCAGCCTCAAATCTAGTGGGAGAAAGCTGGTAGGCCTTCATATGAAAGAATGGGTCTATGTGGTCAGTGTGCACAGTCTAAAAAAAATCCTGCAGCACACAGTGCATAATGAGAAAAAAAAAACTTTGACCATTTTTTTTTAATAAATCAGCGACTTTGCAGTGTATTTTCGTATGGTATTTATTGTTGTATTCTAGTTTTCTTGGTCTCATTTTATAGAATGGAAGACATATTACAGAAATTGAGATGATTTTGACTGGTTTTACAAAGAAAGGTGCCTTGAAAATTGAGCTCAAATTAGCAGAAATGTTCGATTTTTAACCAAACTTCAAAAGTAAACAAATCGTGCCAAGCGTGCAATACACGTCAACTGGTGAGTCTAATATTCTTTCACAAGTGCACCAATAATATTTATAACCCTTTTTTACACTAATGCAGTAGTCTGCATAACAGTAAATCTTATATTTTTTGTGAAAATAAAAATTCAAAGTGGAAAGCAAAAGAATATAAGAGGGGACTTGAGACATGACTAATGACTAGAGGAAATGTCATTTTAGTGCCAGGAATGTCTTTCTTGTTTATTCTGGACCCTATTCCGAAATTGGCATCTTTTGAAATTTGTGTGAAATTGGCAAAATTGCTAAATTCTGACCACTGTACTGGATAGTTGAATTTCATAAATGAGTGGTTTCTTGCATCCATTCGATAGAAAAAATGGAGTTCTAGCGAAATATTCATGTTTTTGTCGACTAGTACAGTGAAATTGGCCGAAAATGGGGCTCAAAGTGGGCAAAATCGCCGATGCGTAAACATCGCCGAGACCGCTAACTTTGCGAGAGCATAATTCCGTAAGTTTTCTATCAAATTTCAAACTTTTGGTGTCTTTATGATCGGGAAAAGATTCTCTATCTTTTCATAAGAGAAAATAATTTTTTTTTTTTTTTAAATTTGGCCGACCCTGAGAACGAGTTTCGGAGAGGGCCTGTTGACCCTCAAAGGGTTAATTAGCAGAGGGAAGGTTGTCTTAATCGCTGAAATGCCTACAGTTTTCACTTTAACCCTTTCACTATCTCATACGTAGTTCAATGTTATTGACACTCGAGTCGTTTATGCATATCTACCTTTTGAGCTCAACTCCCTACAATAAGATGTGTGGTAAATGTTGGCCTTTACATGAGAGAATGAGTCTGTGCGGTATATACTTTTGATAAGTTTCAAGAGTCTTACTACTCTCAGAATGTGCATAGTATAAAAAAATCCTACCCCACATGACAGGAAAAGCAAACCTCTGACTTTAGTCTTTCGTTTATAAACGCAAATTTGAAGTGTTTTCTAGGATGATTTTTATGGATTTTATTGGCAGATATATTCAATTTTTGACAATTTTCATGACAATAGGTAAGGTCCCCTACACCCCCAGGTCTGTTTTATAAGTTCTCACTAGGTCTCTTTAAATTACTGGGATGCCATAAACCATGACCAATCATTCTTGGTTATATTTTATTATCTGAGAAACAGGGTAAATCTTTGATTTTTTGTGAATACAAAATGAAGGAATAGTGTAATACAGTGGAACCTCGGTTTTCATATGCCTGTTTTCATAGGATTCAGTTTTCAACGACTTTTTTTTGTCAAAAATTTCTTTCAGTTTTTGTAAATTCACTCAGTTTTCGTAGAGTTGAAAAAAGTCTGTACTAAACGCGCCCGCATGACTCAGCCACTCAAGCGCCAACACAAAGCATCCCATGCGTTCATGACTCAGTCTGTCTTTGTTTCTCGTTGAAAGAGCATCACCCCACATGTTCATCCGAAACATATCGTAATAATCCATTGTTTTTTCGTGCTTGTTTATTGAGTGTGGCTGCTAAATAAGCCACCATGGGGCCAAAGAAGTTCCAAGTGCCAGCCCTTTGATAAAGAAGGAGAGAAACATGATAGAATTCAAGAAAGAACTCGTAGCAAAGTACAAAAGTGGCATACGCGTGCCAATTCCACCAGGATGTATGAGAAGTCCACGTCAACAATCAGTTCCATCCTGGCGAAGAAAAAAGAAATCAAGGAAGCTGATGTTGCCAAAGGGGTAAATGTGCTAACGGAACAGAGATCACAAACAATCGAAGATGTTAAGAAGTTAGCAGGAGATAGTATTTTGGAGGTGATAATTTGTGAAAAGGCAAGGCAGTTGCATGTGGATCTCGCAAAGAAAATGCCTGGAACGAGTGCTGCTGTTAGTGAATTTAAGGCCAGCAGAGGCTAGTTTGACAAATTCAAGAAGCAAACTGGCATACACAGTGTGGTAAGGCATGGCAAGGCTGCAAGTTCGGACAAACATGGGGCTGAAGAATTCATTATGAATTCAAGGAGAACGTAGAGGCTGAAGGATTCCTCCCCAACATGTCTTCAATTGTGATGAAAGAGGCCTCTTTTGGAAGAAAATGCCAAAGAGGACCTACATCATGCAGGACGAAAAGGCACTGCCAGGACACAAGCCTATGAAGGATAGGCTAACTCTTTTGTTCTGTGGTAATGCTAGTGGAGATTTCAAAGTGAAGAGTTTACTGGTGTATCACTCTGAAAATCCCCGAGTGTTCAAGACAAACACTGTCATCAAGAGTAAATCGCATGTGGCCAGGATGTGGAAGAATTGGTGGACGACCCCATGGAAGAGGTAACCACTGAAGAGCTGCAACACCTTGAACTGGAATAGCAACAGACTACAGCTGAGGAAATTGCTTCAGAGGAAGAGGAAGAGAGAGGGGAGAATGTGCCTTCTTCTGTTATTAAGGACGTGTGCAAAGTAGAGCGAGTTGCAAAGTTTTGTAGAGAAATATCACCCTAACAAAGCTGTTGCAAGTAGTGTCTGCAGCATGTTCAATGACAATGCCTTGTCCCATTTTAGGTAAATTGTAAAGAGATGCCAGAAACAGACCTCTCTGGACAGATTTTTTTGTGCAACAGGAGTACAGTGACTCAAGCTGGTCCTAGTGCCAGTAAAAGACAAAGAAGGGAAGTAACCCTGGATAGGGCCTTGATACCTGAAGGTCTTATGGAACGAGATTCCCCTTCCAAACAATAACCTCTCCTCCTCCCTATCCCCTCCTCGCCGTCTTCCATACGCCAACAAGAGTCTTCAATAAAGGTAAAAGTGATGTTAACCCTTTCAGGGTCCGTCCCGTAGATCTACGGCTTTACGTTCAGGGTCCAAACCGTAGATCTACGCCATGAGCTCAGCTCACTCTGATAAACTGTGAGTGGTACATTTGGGCCTAGATATGAGAGAATACATCTATGTGGTATGTGTGCACCACATAAAACAGATCCTGCAGCACACTGTGTATAATGAGAGAAAAAAAATGAAATCATGATTTTTCGATTAAAACAGCAACTTTGCAGTGTTTTTTCGTATGTTTTTTATAGTTGTATTTGCGATTTCTTGGTCTCATTTGATAGAATGGAAGACATATTACAGAAATAGAGATGATTTTGATTGGTTTTAGCATTGGAAATGGCTTGAAACTGAGCTCAAAGTAGCGGAAATGTTAAATTTTTGCCGATATTCAAGAGTAAACAAACGACCTCACACGTCTAATACATGTCAGCTGGTGGGTCTAATGTACATTCACAAATATGGTGATGATATTTATACAATTATTACAGTATTGCATAACAGTAAATCTTCTATTTTTTGGTGCGAATAAAAATTCATTATGTGAATAAAAAATCAAAATGGAATTTATTTGTAAAGCCTCAAAACATAACTAATGAACAGAGGAAATGTTAGTTTAGTGCCAGGAATGCCTACATTGTTCATTCTGGACCCTATTTTGAAATTGGAATATTTTGAACTTTGTGTTAAATTAGCCAAATTAACAATTTCCGATCACTTTATTTTGTAGTTGAAACAGTTGACTTGGCGATTTCTTGTGCTCAATCGATAGAATAGAAGTAATACTAGTGAAATAGCTAAGAATTTGGTTGATTGGAATAATGTAATTGGCCTGAAATGGGAGTCAAAGTCGGCAAAATCGCCGATTCGTAAATATCGCTGACACATCAAAATTCGCGAGAGCATAATTTCGTCAATTTTCCACCAAATTTCGTACTTTTTGTTTTATTACCTTCACAAAAAGATTCTCTACGATTTCATAAGAAAAAATA